CAGCCTGGATGTGTCTGATGCACTCCCAGCCACCCTTGGACGTGAGGCTGAAACGTTTGCAATCCTGGGCCTTGTTGAGTAGCCATTCCTGCTTGACGCGTCTGACTTCCCTCCGCGCGGAGCTGCGGGCACACTTATAGGCATTGCAATCACTGACTTTGCGTGTAGACACCCAAACAGCAAACAAAAGTGGTCGACGACTGGGACACACACACACACACACACACACACACACACACACACACACACACACACACACACAATAATTCCCATCTGCAGATTATGGCAGGTCCTGAAAGGACAGGCAGTGTTTCAGTCATGGGGAACAGAACTTCGAGTGGCGAGTGAGATATACACACACACACGTGCGCGCGCGGGCACACACTAAAGTATGCAGAAAGAGAATCGACGTTGTAGTATTCATTGGTTGGGGAATGGAAAGGAAAATAAAACATTGCAGTAGGTTATTGTTGTATGGACACCAGGAGGACAACAGAAAGGTAAGCAACTTGCTTTGAAGCTAAGAAAGTTATTATTCCACGGATCTCAGAAGGAAAGAACGTTCCAGTAATCTGCACTGGCAACAGGCGGCCTGCATGTGCGCGGCCCCTGCAGTCGGTCCAGCTGCCGGCCTTGCAGTGCTGGAAAGAATGTGCAGTACAGCATGTCACGTAGTATCGCAGCCTGGACAAATATGCGCTGGGAAGTCCTAGTTATGTGCTCACCTACACCACGATGCACCAATCTTCTGAGCTACTTTGGCAACAACTTTGTCCACTTGAGACTCCCATGGGCTGAGCCAGTTGTTGAGGGCTTCACCAAGGTGAACGGCAATGATCGCTGATGGCAATGCAGTCCATGACACACCGTGACAGTCACTAGGGCATCGTCAACATGGCGCTGAGCCTGGATCGATAAAATCTGCCTTTAGGCTGGGTTGACAACGAGGCCGCCGTCTTGAAGCTAGTCAATCAGCCTGGTCACAGCCATTGACGAACCAGTCGCCACCGTCAGCAGTGGCGGTAGGTTGTGACAAGTGTGGTGCAATATCGTCAGCAAATTCAGCACTCGGGATAAGATGAGTGACAAAGGGAACGTTGTGTTTGTATAATATTGAAGTGAACAGGGATGATCACAAACCCTGCGCGTACTCCACCGTGCGTTACAAGAAAATTCCGGACCGGACGACGAGCAAACGCCAACCTGCTACATCCAACCAGGCAGATACTATTACGATAGCTGCCAAACCAGGCCAATGTCGACCCACTGCATACCGGTATGTCAATGTCAAACAGATCCTGCAGGAGAAGACTGGGATACTGGCGTCCAGTGTACAGACACCAGTCACATTTCCTACGTCTTTTTCAGCATAATAGGATAGACTCATCACTATAGAGTCCACTACTTCGTGACTTTTTTATTTTTTAGAATACATGACAGGCGTATTCAGTGTGCCTCGCAGGACTGCGAGATGCTGCGGAAGACCAGGTTCGACCTTTCTGGACGGCCATTCACCGACGGTGGGCTACACGATGCTGGAGGAACTAGATTCCAGTGAAAACCCAAGATTCCTTTGCTCCTGGGCGCTCCGACGTGTTGTGATATCTGCCAGGTGCGCAGTAACTAGTATTTTCATCGCTATAGCGAGGACGACGCCGATCGGCAAACAGTCTCGCTCACAGCCATCACCAGCCTCTCAAAAGCATCACTTGGCATCCCCCAGTAAGTGTAGGAGATAGCCAAAACAGCTCACAACAAACAAAAGCTAAGGACGATGGAAAGAGAGCATGTCAAAAAGAAGACGAACAGTATGAAGTTCAAATGGTTTTGAACACTCGTAGAGGGGACGGTTTCAAATAGGACACAGGTTGCAAACCGGAACGGACTCAATATTCACTTTCTCTCTTGGTATTTTTGATTAGAAAACATATGTCACAGTGAGACTACGATGTGTTATACTCCGAGCCAAAATTTCATGGCTCTGCGATGACCAGAAGCGCCATATCAAGCAGGTGAGTTTTTGACGTGTTGCTTCGCACTGCGACTTGAGTTTTACGACTTTCGAAAAATCAACTTCTTGTCGCAGGTAAACAGCGGCTCGCCTCTCGCCAATAAAGCACCACATACCAATCAAAACTAATGGAAGCACACACAAGGCTTATTGTTACTCTGCACTGGCCGTCGTGGAGCGATAGCTTATTTCAGACCCAGAGTGAATTTGACGTGCACTCTAAAACGTGTCCGGTTTGGAGCCACCTCTGATTTGAACTTTTTTGAAGCGAAAAATTGGGCAACTTGGAGGCAATGGGTCAACACAAAGGAGTGGCTCAGTTCGATTGACTCTGGCCCCAGAGCAAACTTCAACATGCCAGTTTCCTTCCACAAACATATTATTTCGAGTGAAAAATCAACGCTGATGATCGGTTTGGGTCTATACAAATTTTGCTGTCAAAGCGTCCTGGTATCGAGCCGTCCCCTCTACCCGTTTGTATAAAAAATAAAAATAAAAAGGAGGTTGGATTTCGATGATCCTATAATATCAATTGCACGCCAAGACTCAAAAAGAGTGAGGATACTCTTTTTTCCTTTTTCCTGTGCATTCCCGCTTTCGACTTTGTCAGGCAGGAGCAGGCTGAAAGACAGTCGTTCTCTCCACTCTTGTGCAACTAAAAATCCTCGTACTGGAAGTTTTTGATTGCGATGTGAGAAAATGCAAGACTTGAAACCAGGGAGTAGTATTGTACTAGTATTGTACTACTCCCTGCTTGAAACTCGTTCGAGATGGCAGCTGAGTTACTAGAAAGTTATGATGGTTCTCCGACATCGATATGTATGGCAGCTGAGTTATTAAAGTTACGATGGTTCTCCGACATCGAACCTGCCGCAGTACTTCAAGATGAACTAGTGTCACCAGGCTGAGTGACCAGTCGGAGTGTCACACCCGGTGATGTCCGTAGGTGGTAGCTATGATCCTCATGGTTGTAGTTTGTTCCTTCAATCGACGAGCTTGGTTTAGTTGAAAAGTAGTTCGAAATATTGCATACAAGATTACGGATTTGTGAAGATTCTTTTCGCGAAACGAGCTAGCACTAGCAGCTAGCTGGCCCGCAGCACATCAGCTGTGTCAGGCACCCCAGCTAGCTATGGGTGCAAACATCTTCGGAATGCGAAGAGTACCAGTTCTCTGCGAACATAGCAAATAGGATTGTGCGAGATCATGGAAGATTTGCGGGGAAGTTAAGGCAAACATTAGAATTTCACCAGTCTTCGGGGTGCTGAGTCGAATGGTCGTGGTCCGAGGAAGCTGAGACACTCCCTTCCTACTTGAATCCCAATCGAACTCGCGCACTTCCACCGAAACTGGGTGACTGCGCCCTACTAGATGGGGATTGTATGCAAAATGTCACTAAATGCGCCATTTCGATCTTATAAAAGCACGGATGACCGCGATTGGCCCATATGTTGTAGTCTTTTGGACGCTGAGTCGACTGGTTTTGGTCCGAAACGGCTGCGATGCAGCGTTCCTCCTTTATTCCCAATCGAACATGGTTGAACAAGCGGTCACGTGCTCCTGGGTGCCCAAATCACCTGGTCACCACGCCAGCAGGCGGCAACTTTCACACCAAGATTCAACTCCGGTTCAACTCGAGTGACAGGCCTGCACCCAAAAAAGGTCAAACAGGCTAGTAAGTTGTACCCTGCAGGCACGGTGACCAGGTGACTGGTGTACGCAGGAGCACGTGACCGCTTCTTCAACCATGTTCGATTGGGAATAAAGGAGGAACGCTGCATTACAGCGCTGTATCTCTTGCTGTCTCTCTCTCCCTCCTTCTGTTTTTGATGCACAAGCACGCCCCTGGTGTTAATTGCATTCTTGCTTAGACATCTGCCGTTCCTTTGTTTCTATTCTCGCCTCCTTCTATTTTGCCTCATTTTACCCCGAGATCTTTTGTTGCATAGTGCTCTAACGCTCATCATTCGCTCCCTTGTCACTGGACAGTTCTGGTTGTTTGGTTTTGCGAATTCAAACAAAGAAAACAACAACCACTGGTAACGTCTTCTTGACACGACTCAAACTTGCCAAAGTCACTAAATCACGTCAACTACAATAATCAAGCCACATATCTGCAACGTCACGAGGGTGCTGGCAAAAGTCTTGCTGCACAGCGGCGGGCTTCGCCCGCCACCGTGGACTTGGAGCAAAATTCTGCACACTTTCGCGTGTTTCCATCATACGACAAGTTGTGCACGGTCTGCTCACATTCAAATACAGTGCTGCCAAGAAATGACAGCGTGCAACAAAAAACCTTTCCTTGCAAGGGCACATTTTTGGCCATAAGTTTTGAACGGCTGGTCAGATCAAGACAAAAGTTTCAGAGATGTTGCAGCTATTCATGTTCTTTTAACTGATGTAGCACTCGATATGAATTTACAAATTCGATTTTTCAGGGATTTTACGACCAGGCCGCCCCCTTAAGGTAGCAGCCTGGTCGTAACTTTCATATGGCATTCAATTGACCGTAACTTTGGTGTCTCTCAATGGATTTGAGTGAAATTTTCACCACACACTCCTGCCACTATGCTGGCCATCAGGACATGATTTAAAAGTTCTTGCGCCTCACTGAAAGGTTTTCCAGGCCTGGAGCAAAATCCTGCATACGTTCGCGTCTTTCCATGATACGACAAGTTGCGCACGGTCTGCTCACATTCAAATACAGTGCTGCCAACAAATGACAGCGTGCAACAAAAAATCTTTCCTTGCAAGGGCACATTTTTGGCCATAACTCTTTAACAGCTGGTCAGATCGAGACAAAATTTTCAGAGATTTTGCAGCTGTTCATGCTCTTTCAACTGATGTAGCACTCGATATGAATGTACAAATTCGATTTTTCAGGGATTTTACGACCAGGCTTAAATGCGTGAAACTTGAAGTAACTTAGTTACAGCTACACCGCCTTTCACCACCGCTGTTTGTGTACATTATGTTATGTTTTTTACAGTATTGAGCAAAAGTCAATCAAAGCGGGGCTCGCCCAAGCTGCAAAGGATGTGGAGGAAGCAAGACAGCAAGGGAATAATCTCCTTGACATCAACGTCGACTATTTCTTCAGTCTAATATTTACAAAGGACAACCTCAAACTCGTGGAGCATGCCTGTCATAAAAATAACCACACCGGCATGTCCTGTGATCTTAGTATGATTACAGTTGTTACTGGGCTGGTGGAACTACCGTATTTTGGGTCTCCAATACCGTAGAATCCCGCGGATACGCCCACCCGCGTACAAGACCATGCTCGCGCATAAGTCCAGGGTTTGTTGGAACACCACAAAGCTTCATCGTATAAGCCCATGGGCCTAGGTCATGCCATGTACATAGTGCATGTAGGTTTTTTGTTCTTTTTTTCGTACATTTCAACACAATCATCGGTTGTTTCAGTTTGCACAGTGGTTTTCAGCAATGTACTTCTCACTTCCTTGGTATTTTTCAATAGCACAATTTAGCTGTCGGCGTATAAGCCCATGCCCGCTTATATGCCCATGTTCTCGCATCACCGAAATGTCCTTGTGACACAGATAAGCCTAAGATTAGTCCTCACTCTCTCTTCAATCAATCAGGGACCAATACGTACAGAACACATACATGACCAAGACCAAGACAACCAGACCAAGGACAAATCACACATCACTCTCATTCCCAGACCAAGCTAGCACTGCGCACGCGCAACATTCACTTGACAGTTACTCTCATCCAGACGGAAGTAGATTCTCACACTCTGACAACTCGTACTCTTGCATGCACCACATACCATAAACGTCACACATCACACCATACTCGCACGTACACTTAGACCATATATGACATCAGACACTGGACTCTATGAGGCAAGAACCAAATACAACAACATGCGTAAATCATACTCGCCCAAAATTTCGCAACAATAGTGTCAAAGTCTAGGGCAAGCAGAAAGTATCTTGTCAGGCCCTCAAGCCTACTAGCTATTCCCTTCACGTAGACTAAGACCTGATGAGACTGTTGATGCTTATGGAGCAGACCTAAAGAACCTCTTTGTTCAAGCCGGAAATGAAGATAATGACAACAACCAGATGCTCTGTTCGCAGTTTATTAGGGGCCGTCCGTAAATATCGATGTTTTTTTAGAGACGATATTGGTGCGTCTGGGGGGGGGGGAGGGGGTTTGAGCCATGTGCGTCTTTTCGAGCATCAGAAAAATATCGATGTAAATATCTGAAGTTTCGCCGATCCCTGCACGCGGACGTCTAAATGGCTATACAAGAAATGTGAAACCAGCTTCCGTTCGCGGAGCTAAAACTCGCGACACAAGAACAAAATCAAGAATTGGAAGCTGTACGCCCATGGCGAATTTCAAGAGCAAAATAATGAGCTATTGATTGTGGAAATCGGCCGAACGATGCCTGCAGGAGACCTTTTTCAAGACGTAGAGGCAGTGCGAACAAACACGGACGAACTCCACAAGAGTTTCCAGTCTTCACGGTCTGAACAAGGATTTGAAAAAATTCAAGCCCGAGCGTAGCCGCTTTGGCTACACCAGTACACGATGAGTTGCACTTTGAACGCTTTTTTCTGCAAACTTGCCATCTTGGGTTCATATTATTGACAAAAAAAGGAAAAAAATGAGCATCCAAAAATATTGATTCCATGATCTAGATGTACATGTGCGTCTTCTGGGGGGAGGGGGTCAAGGGAGAGAAGCACCAATATCGTCTCTAAAAAAACATCGATATTTACGGACGGCCCCTTAGTGGCCTCCCAAGTGATATTATGAGGTAGGTTCGCTGGAGCATGGCTGGAGAAGAATTCAAGCGTTCTAAACTAGCAGATAGAGTTCGGGCATTGAGAGCATTTGAGCAGGAGTCACGTGGTCATCGTGAAATGCCGGCCCATGGCGGCCGTAATGTAACAGCAGCAGTATCAGATCAATCAACCAAGAAGTCTGTTCTTTGTTTCCAATGCAATGAGTCTGGACACATTGGAAGGAACTGCCCTCAAAGGCATCAAAAGAGTAGCAGCAGGTATTTTTGTGTTTTTTTAAATTATTTTACTTGGGCATTCCCAACAGACCCTAAGGTCTTCTTACAGGGTGCCTAAGGCCCCGGTCACACATGCACTTTTTTTGGCGGTTCCGCTTTGGCTGAAAGTTTGGATTTCGCTATGCCAAAAAAATGCGAGCGGACCCTCCGCTTTGGCGGAACCTGCATGGTGATGGCTTTGGAGTTTGGTGTGCTACTTCTGCACTCAGTTCTGGTGTTGTTTGGTTGCCGTTTGGTACTCAGTTTTCATAATTATTGTTCTTCTTTGCCAATGACCTGTACGTTCTGGAGATCTCGCGAGCAATACTGCATCGTTATGAGTGGATAGTTGGTGAGGGAATAACTCCGAATCCGTCTCCCAACGAGTCATTGGCCCCGATCGCGGACGATCTCCAACTCTCTCCTTCTCTCTCCAAGCAATACGTCCACCAGAGTATGCAACATTAGGACTGCAACCAGGGAGTAGTAGAGTACTCTGCCACACCCTCACTGCAGCTGCAGGCATCCACGCAGTCGCTGGGTCGATGATGGATCATGGAGGAGGCAACGACACCCTGCTATAAAACTATTTGAATTTGATGTTGATGTAAACTAAACTAATATTCAAATACACCCGTGCTGGGCCGCAGTGAATGTGCCCCAAATCCACGAGTGTACTTGACACGAGACATTCAGCAGCCTGTCAGCGATCCACGATAGCTCTACTTGTACAAGCGAAGGTCGCTTCAACTCGGACAAGAACATCTAAAATTTCATAGGATGTGCTGAATTTGCATTCTCTCCGCTAAAAGGAGCGTTGAGGAGCACAGTAGTCTACATGTATGTGTGACCGCTGCATCGTGTGGTCCGCCAAAGCGGCTGCGGTAGTTCCGCTTTCCGCCTCCGCAAAAGCGGTGCAAGCTTTTCATGTGTGACCGCGGCCTAAGATGAATGAATGTGTTTTAAAAGTTCCTGGCGAAATGAATTGGGGTTATGATTAGTGCGAAGGGATTCGGGAAGCGCATTAAAGCAAGGCAGCAAATGACAGACCATGCCGATCTACAGCAGACTACAACAGGACCTACGAATTTACAGTAAACATACAATGGAAACAATCGGAGAGGGAAACGACTGATAATAAGGCAGCGGCATCGATGGCTTGCGTTCACGGTGATGGTGAGACGCAGGAAAAGGAAGAGAGTGAAAACGATGCGGATGACGGAGGAAGTTGTGATTCGAGTACTGAAGGAGGAGGTGAGCTGAGTGAGGATGAGAGTGAGGGTGTGTGCGGGAGTCGAGATCGTGTGCGTACGTTTCGTTATAGAAAATCTTCAGTGTACGATCAGTTGGTCTCTAGTACTGACTGTTGTCATACTTATTCTGATTCATGTTTTTTCTGTTTTGTGCCGTGCTCATGGTTGTCTGGTGCAATTAAACGTTTTCGAAGCTATTTGTCAGCGTATTCATGAGCCGAATGTGTGTGTCCAGAAAGATAGTATTATTAATTTATTACCCTAAAATTTTAATAATAGCTATGAAAAGTATGAATGCCGCAGACATCACCACACAACATGACAATTTGTTCAAGGTTTTTAGATTGTGTGTTTCCAGAATCGATTTACAAGCTCCGATCATCAGTTGAAATACGGAACTAAAGTGATCAAGGGAAAAACAAAGGTTAAAAATACAAAGATTACGCGGCATGTGTCACACTTCTTTGGATTTTTAACCTTTGTTTTTCCCTTGACGAACAAGAAATCGTACTTCGAACTAGTTTTCGCACAACACTCCTCAGGAAGCTACGTTGTACTAATGAAAAACAATCCAGAAAGATACTAATAAAGAGAAATGGAGTGAGAAGAAACAACACCTATGAAAATGATAATCCTAGCACTAAGGTAATACAGGAAAAAACTGCGAAAGCACTTAACGAACTTGTAAAGACTAATAGTATACTGTGACACAAGATATGACACCATGGCCAACCAGGGCCAAACAGACAGAACAAGCTGCTACTAGAACAATTTCAAACGAATAATGCTGTCCTTCTGGACACACAGATTAGGCTTATGAATACGTTGACAAACAGCTTCTAACACACTCAACTGCAACTTATAACCATGACGATTCTTCTTTTTCTGTTTTGTGCCGTGCTCGTCATGGTTATAAGTTGCAGTTGAGTGTGTTAGAAGCTGTTTGTCAACGTATTCATAAGCCTAATCTGTGTGTCCAGAAGGACAGCATTATTCGTTTGAAATTGTTCTAGTAGCAGCTTGTTCTGTCTGTTTGGCCCTGGTTGGCCATGGTGTCATATCTTGTGTCACAGTATACTAGTAGTCTTTACAAGTTCGTTAAGTGCTTTCGCAGTTTTCTGTTATTACCTTAGTGCTAGGATTATCATTTTCATAGGTGTTGTTTCTTCTCACTCCATTTCTCTTTATTAGTATCTTTCTGGATTGTTTTTCATTATTATTTCTCCTTTATTCACTTCTTTCGAAGGCGATAAGCCAGACCCACCGGGAAATATTTCCATGGGTGGGACAGCAAAAAGAAAGTGAAAAAACAAAAACAAAAATAAATAAATAAATAAAACCTAAAAACCAAAGGGACAAGAACTAGTTGAAGGAAGAGGAAGAAAGGAAAGAAACTCAATCCGAACTCCAACATCAAAACAATAATAAAGAATTTGCAGCGACAGGCAAAATACATCAACCAATGAAGGGAGTAGTAACAAAGGAAATATCAGTCTTTATCAGTCGTTATTCAAGTCTCTTAGCTATTGAACATGCAAACGCAGCAGAGGTGCATCTACATGTTAAGGATAGTTCTCAGTATTTTAATCGAACCTTGAATAGCCTCCTGTTGCACAATAGCCAGGTCTCCTCCCTGCACAGTCCGAAGGCATTGAGGAGTCTCCCCCACCAAGCCTCCCAGGGCACCGACAACCACAGGGACCACGTCAACCTGGTTGAGGGACCAAATCCTCGAAATCTCCCGCTTCAAATCATAATATTTCGAGCGCTTTTCAGCCATTTTCTTATTGATGTTGTTCTCACCAGGAACGCTGATGTCTATAATGTAGGCGATGCGCTCCTTGTCATCAACAAGGAGCAGATCGGGCCTGTTTGCTGATAGTTTCAGGTCAGTTGGGACCGAATACTCCCAATAGAGGCGATACTGATTACTCTTGACCAATGCCTTGAGCTGGTGGTCGAATCGTGAAGCACCAGTAGGTAGATCTCGTGCTTTACACATTTCGAAGTGCACATACTTTACTATCCGGTTATGTCGTTCAATGTAACTGGTCCGAGCAAGAACTGGGCAGGCACTGACAATGTGGTCAATTGTTTCTAAGCTGCCCTTGCAAAGCCTGCAATTGGCATCAGTTCGAGGAATTGACTTCATGATGGCGTATTGGTAAATTTTCGTTTTGAGGGATTGGTCTTGTGCTGCCATAATCATGCCTTCAGTTGAAGGTTTCA